TCTGGCCCCGGGCCTGCGGGACAAGAGCGACATGGGCAGCAGCAGCTCGGGCGGGCCGGCGCCCCTGCGCACCCCCGGCCTGCCCGCTGCCCCCGGGGGACCCGCCATGGGGACAAGTAAACTGTCTCAAGGGAAGGAAGGAGGGGAGGAAGGAGGAAGAGGAGGAAGGCAGGAGGGCAGGGGAGGAAAGGACGGAAAAGGAAAGAAGAACCTGGCATCTGTCCGCATAGGGAAATGGCATTCACTAACGAACACTGGCGAAATGGTCCATAAATGACTAAAGGAATAAACTGATTAAAGGAACGGAGGCCCAGCAATTAATGTAGCTCCACAGTGCTTTTTATTTTGTTTTGTTTTTAAAGAATTACAATTACAGGTGCATTCAAGAGTTCAGAAAAGCAAGGGAGTCATGGAACAGTCAGATGCGATTTGGGTGCGGTCCTAAAAATCACATTTTGCAAATTGCGCCAAAAAACACGGCTCTAGGCAGACCTCGGTCTTGTTCTGCAGCAGCCTTGCTGTTGAAACCCTTGCCTTGCAAATAACAGCCAGCAGCCTGGCCAGTCCTCTGATGTGAGCTGAAAGGGGCACACATTTTTCCTTAATGACCTAGAAAGCACATTTCAGGCTTAATCAGTGCATCTCAGGAACTTAAGTTTTTGTTTTGTTTTGTTTTGTTTTTACTACATATTAGAAAATGTTTCTAAAAACATTGCAGTGTGTGTGTCTGGTGGGGGGGGGGAGCCACTCATCCCACCTAATAAAAAGTAGTAAATATTAAGATTCAAGAGAGCATTTTTCTCATGCTAACAGAATAAAGGGATATGTAATCATCCAGCTTATCAAAATGCATTTAATAACTTAATTTAATGCAATTTTCCACATTAAACCTCAGGAGTTTAAATTGATTGCTATGTATGGACCTAAAATAAGAAGTCCTCTCCCTCTCTCCTCCTAGGTAAATTTTTACTTACTTCAAAATTATAAATAAGATTAGCGATGCTACCAGATGAATTAGTAAATGAAAAAAAAAAAGAAAAGAAATAAAGCTCACTAAGCTGTTAAAACCTCTGCATTCTTCTGGGTATTTGCCATATCTTCTCTAAGAAAAGTTAAAAAATCATTCAATGGCAACAAAATAATAGTCTATATACTTCAGAACCCCTTAATAATTAACCATACAAAGACACACATTATGAAAGATGAGACATATTTATTCAATTTCCAGCAAATACCGTTTGGAAATGGGCTTCAACTGACAACGCAGGGAGAGTGTCAGCAAAAATTCTGACATGAGGAATTAGAGCAAACTGCTTAGGAAAATAGAGCAAACTGCTTAGGAAACTGTGTGTTTTGTGTGTGTGCCCACGCATGTGCGTGAGTGTGGGCATATGTGCGTGTGCATGGGCACATACATGAGCGTGTGTGTGTGTGTGTGTGGTGTTACTGTTGTTCTTCTTTCCCCTTCCCTGTGAAATTAGGTAAAACTTTCCAAAATACATAGAGCTACATAATCCTGAGGCAATCTGTAGCCCCTGGGTCTAGTGGGGGGGGATGAAAAACTCTGGAGAGAAAAATGCATTTTTAAAAATTTTCTATTTTAAGCATTGTAGACAGTACTATCATAATAAAGAGATTCTTTTCATCTAAGTACTTTCTGATTTTTTTTTTCTGAATGGGAAAGTCTTTTACATAATGTATCGTGTTTCATAATATTTTATATTTAGAGTTTTATCCATACATAAGAAACCAATTTCTAAACATTAAATCTCAGGGTCGTTAAGCATGGGAATGAGTTATGGAGGGACGTTCTAGAATATTTTCTCCCTAGAGGTCTTTAAAACAGGGTAGATTTTCCCTTGGGGTTGTTTTAGATATGATCCAGTCCAAAGAGAGGAGACAGAGATTTCTAACAGTTATGTTAATTCTCTGATTCTTTTTTTTTTTTTTAATTCTCTGTGATTCTATAAATCTCCTTAGTAGACTCAGGAAACTGGTATATTTAAAGACTTGGTATAAGCACACTAAATAATCAACTGAATACATTTGAAGCCCTCTAAAAACACTACCAACTTGAACAAAAACAAAATTTGGGTCTTAGTGATAACAATTACTTTACACTCAGTTCTGAAAGGGATTTTCCTCCTTTCAACGTTTAAATAATTCATCAACAAAAGCCATAACAGGGCACTGGGGTTACGCAATCCACCCGTTCTGGGAGCCTTCTTCTTTAGCCGATAGCCGGCAAATACCTATGCAGAAGCCTCTGATGACTCCTTGAGGTAAATTCAAGTCACTATTTTTAAAGCCACATTTCAGCAAAGGAAGGTATCCAGAGCATGTCGGATATCCCTGGTTCCACTTCTGGTCATTTTTAGCCTATGACTCAAAACGAGGTCTAACACGCACGTACCAGACTAGACTTCTTTAATCCATTAAGTCCAAAGACATTCTTATCTGGCTGATTGACCCTTAAAATTGAGAAGCAGGGAGAGACCCCAACGTGAACCTACATATTCCAATCTCCAATTTGAAAAGTACGACGGTTTGCTGTGAATGAAATGGGCACGTTTAAAACACCCTGTATCTTCCCAGGTCACCTCAGCTCTACCACCTACTGGTGGCGTAAGCCTGAGCAAGTTGTGCCTTGGTTTTCTCATCTGCAGAATGGGGATAAGAGGGTGGTCGTGAGGTACAATGAGATAATGTAGATTCCACCCTCTGCTCTTGTCATTCTTACCGCCACCACGGCCACAAAGGTTAAGAAGTGTAATTGAATTAATTTCGCTTTCTAGAAAAACCCCACGGCAACAGAAAGGCCTTTTAGGAAACTTGGTAGCGTATTAGCTAGCAACGTTGGGAGTACGCTTTTCTCCAGCAAACTTCAAAATGCCTCTACAGTTTACAACAACTCAGCACAAATACACAGATAAGTCAGCCTGCCATGTGCTTCCTGCTAATCTGCTATCAGAGCCACTTACAAGCAAATTCCTTTCCTCACTAAACACCGCAAGTTCACTTACTGCGTGGGCCTGTTTTTTTTCTTCCCCCTCCCTCCAATAGATTACATAACAACTTCTATTTACGAGGCCAGGGAACTGAATGCAGCTTGCAGCAACTGGACGTGCCTGGAATGTAACTACCTGTTCATCAGGCTTCCTGCCTGTCCCGCAGGCGGCTTCCACACCTGAGGTGCCTGCCTGGCTGGGCTTCCTATCGACAGAAACTATCTCTGCAATAGACACTCGTGGTCTGCCAGACGATAAGACTTCTCCCTGGTATCTTCAAACGCAAAACAAATTACATTCCCTATCTTATCGCCTACCCGCCCCCCAACATAAACAATTTAGGCTTAGTTGCCAAGGCTCCAAACATATCTGTTTTCCCCTGAGCTCCCACCTTGGAAATCTAGGCAGATGTATTATGTCCTGATGTCCCTGAGAGTCTCCCAGGGCAACCAAGGTGTGTGTGTGTGTGTGTGTGTGTGTGTGTGTGTGTGTCGGGGGTGGGGGGGATCGTTCTCAGACGGATCCCTATGCCTGATGTTATGAAACAGGGAAACTGAGCCTGGGTGGCATCTGACTCTTTGATTTCGGCTCAGGTCATGATCTCACATCAGGCTCCATGCTGACAGCGTGGAGCCTGCTGGGATTCTCTCTCTCCCTCTCTCTCTGTCCCTCCACCACTCGCTCTCTCAAAATAAATAAACAACAACAACAAAACAACAGGGAAACAAACTTATGAAAATACCTGAGTCTCGCATGTACAGAATTTCTGTTCATTCAGAACTGTCTTCTGGCACACTAGGATAGTTACTCAATATTCTGTGCCTTAAATAGGGATTTAAGTGGTTTCCGTGGGTTGGAAAAAAAATGTAATGAAGTGTATTTATTACATTGAGGATACCTAGAAATTTTAGATACTAAAAGGAGGGGCGAAGCAGGAGAGAGACAGGCACTAAAGAAAATTGGCAGTGAAACTTTTACTTTCTATCGTAAGGTCCTTTACTCCATATACACCAAAAAAAACAAAATAAAACAACAACAAAAACCACCCCAAAAACCTTTTTTATTACAGTTCCTAATTTTAATTTTGCTTTAGTCTCTATAAAATAAAAAAATAAATCAAAATGAAAAGGGAGATGATGGGTTACATTTGCACAGAGCCCACAGCAGGCAAAGGCTGAAGAATTATTTGTTCAGTGCACAACTCCTGCAGTCATCCAGTAATTATCCAGCGGTGCCTATGATGATATATGCCACTTTGGGTGAGTTACAACTCTGGAGTAGGTTTGAGGCAGACCACCTCAACCAAAAAGATTCTCCTCACACATGAATAACGCTACAAAGTGGGACAAAAGAAACACGGAATCGTAGCTACCTCTAGGTAAGTGGACATACTTAAAAACTTATTGTTTCCTGAAATATTAGTAGAGCGATTTATACACAATACTTTTTTTTTTAATTAGGGAGGGATGGAGGTAAACAATAACAAGAAAAATAATATTAACTCGGAAAAAATACTCTTCTTTTGACTTGTCCTAAATGCCAACCTCCTCCCCACCCCCACCAAAAAACAAAACCAAAAACAAAAAAAGTCATTGTCAAGGAAGATTGTCATTTCCCTCTAAAATCCGAGATTTGGGGACAAGTTCTGCAACAATGTCAGGTGTAAGCCCCTTCCCAGTGGCAGAAATAGATCTGCTCTGTTAACAGGTTATTTCTTCCAAAGTTACCCATGGCCTCCTTGCCCCTCTCTGGCATGAAACACTACCTGCCCTAATATTTTCACTTGTAATGAAGCCTGCTTTCTAGAAACACGAGACATGAGTGGTGAGTAATAAAATGAGTTCCTCCCAACAACAGGGGCCTGGTGAGGGAAGGCCCAAGCATCGGAGACAGAAAAGACACGGAGTCCTCTCTTCTGGAGAGGGTCCAGAAAGCGCACTCACGATTGTGTTGTACTGGGGCATGGAGTGGTTGCTCTTCCCAAGCATCCAGACAACCACGACTTCGTTCCCTAAGTTCTACTCTGTCATTGGGCCTGCTTATTCGAACTTCGGGTGAAAAGGTATTTGAAATGAATTGATTACCTTCCTGCCTTCTGCAGGGAGGCTTTGGGATGTTTTCCTGCTGAGCGTAGGTCATTAAAAAAAAAATACCTGGGGCGCCTGGGTGGCGTAGTCGGTTAAGCGTCCGACTTCAGCCAGGTCACGATCTCGCAGTCCGTGAGTTCGAGCCCCGCGTCGGGCTCTGGGCTGATGGCTCAGAGCCTGGAGCCTGTTTCCGATTCTGTGTCTCCCTCTCTCTCTGCCCCTCCCCCGTTCGTGCTCTGTCTCTCTCTGTCCCAAAAATAAATAAACGTTTGAAAAAAAAAAAAATACCAATGCTCATGGAGGTCTGTGATGAGATGGCACCCCAGGACACGCATCGAGGTGCGGTGACAGGTGCCTACTGACAGGGTCCCACACCACTACCTCTTGGGAGGTGCTTAACTATCTGATTCCTGTCACTCTGTCTCTGCTGGAAACTGCCCTGAGATGTGGGTTATCAAGATGTGCCAATTTCCTTGACGTTGTGTCTAAAGAGCAAGTTAAAAGGCTCTACATAAGGAGCGAAGATGTTTTTCCTTTTGACACACACAGGAGTAAAATGCTTGCATCTGGTGCACAGAGTTTGGGATGGGGTTCTTTCCCTGGTGGTGAGCTCTGTTGTGATGAGGGAGCCAGTACGGGGCAGCGGTTAAAAGACATGGGCTCTTGAGGTCAGGCTGCTGGTATGTGAGTCCCGACCCGCCATGTTCTGGATGTAAAGTACTCATCGCTGAGCATGGTGCACGAGGTATGCCAGTAGGTGCGCCCTAAGTGTAAGCTATGCACCCAGAGACGTGCGTGTATTTCTTTCTTTCATCTGGCTGCCTTCCCCAGAGCTGGAGTTATGCCATTTTAAAACCTCTAAATGCATCAAATATGCAAACTACCATTTTATGCGTGGTTTTCCTCTACGTTTGCAGACCCTAGAGGCTCAGTGTCATAGGATCCTTCACCTACCAAAGTGCCATGGTCACTACAAAATGATCTGAATCTGACATGATCCTTTCTTACTCTTTCAAATCCATTCCTAAGTATACAACCACAGTCAACAAGGTGAGTTTATCCCTACCAGAAGAGAAACACAAACTCCGAAGACAGAGTACTTCATCATCATCATCATCATCATCACCTGAACTCTTCTATACTACTTCAGTCCCCAAACCTAGAAAAAGTACCCATTTCCTGCACCGATTGTGTGCAGGAATCAGCATGTCGTGGCCTGCCCTAAGGAGAGGGAACCATTCGCAGGAAGGATGTCAACGTCAAGGAAGACCCTGGGAATTCAAAATTTCCTGGGATTCAAAGCTCTAATCAGGACAGAACCATAAACTCTTTGCTTACCTGGTGGTTAACAAAAAAAGCCTGCCAGAGAAAATAAAGTGCGTGGAAGCTCATCCCCTAGCCTCCTGCACCTCTGAATTCTATCAGCGGGATCAAGCCAGACCACCAGAAGGCCCTGGAAAGGACTATCTCATCTCCACCTGTTACATAACAGCACAGCTTAAGCTTTGATGCCGGGGTATATATAAGAAATAGGCCATGTGGATTCTGTTACTCGGTTTATTATGAACAAATGTCACTGATGCCTGTCACGCAGTGTCTTTTGTAATAATAATAATAATAATAGCGGTAATTAAAAAAATAATCCCACCCGGAGAATCTATTTTATTGCCTCATGCTAGAAAACGCTCCGTTTTCCTCTGAGACTCCGGTGAGCTACTTGCTTCTGAACGGTGAAGATTTGGTACCAGACCCTCCCCCCCACCCCACCCCTTTCCTGACTGCCCGGAAACTAGAGTCCACTTGCTCGGAGGCAACAGCCGTTGGAGCTCTTGTCAGCCCGTGTCCCTGACCTCCCTGACCCTGATTTCGATTCCCTTTGCTTCTGATTTCCTACCTGATCATGATTTTACTGCAGGTGTGCTCCTAGGAAGCCTCCCTCAATGCTTTTCGCAAGACAAACCGGGTAGAAATAAATGTCAACCAACCTAAGATGGCTCGCGGAGACCGGATTCTGGGGGCGCATTTTGGCGATGGGACGCACCGTGTGCAGGGCTCTTAACCTGGGGCGGGGGGGGGGGGGGGGGGGGTGGTGTGCACGGGCTTCCGACAGACCTTGAACCTCTTGGAAGAGAATGCAGAATCGCGGGGGACACACCGCCTCCTGCCTCACACTCTACGGCACAGGAGCCCAAGGATCCTGGCCAAGTGAGCGAAGGAAGACACGACAGCCAACGAGGTACAACAAAGGGCTAAGTCAGCCCTGGGGTTCGGGCGACCCAGCGCTTGCGCACCCGGAGCAGTCCTTAGCCGAGCTGGAGCACCGCGTTATTCATTGGGTGGCACGTTAACCTACCAGATGGTCTGTTGTAGTTAACAAGGGCCTGCTGCTGCGGCTGCTGTGCCTGCGGCTGGGGCTGCGAGGGCGGCTGGGGCTGCGGCTGCGGCTGCTGCATGCCGGGCAACGTCCTTTTCCCCTGCACTGCAAGCTGCAGCGTTTCGGGGAGGGGCTGGCCGCGGGCCAGCATTTTGTAAGCTAAAATCTGAGCTCGCAGCTGATGCAGCTGGACGGGGCTGAAAGGCGAGGGACCTCTGTTGGGCTGGCTCATCGCCTGCGGATCGCCCGACAGGAGGGGCCCCGGCTGGCTGGGCGGCATCTGGGGTGGGGTCGGGCCGCCCCCCGACATAGGACTGGAGACGTGCTCTGGGGCTCCCAGCGGAGACGGGTGCGGCGACATGTAGCCTGGAATAAAACAGGAGAGGAGATCACACGCTGCCCCCAGTGACCCCCGTGGGCCAGGCATTCCTGGCTACTGGGATAATTTTCTGCAACAGCACTGCCTGTTTAGAGGAATGTAGGATATATACCATTCAATAATCACAGAAGTACATGGAATTATCAAATTTCTATACACCAGAGGCATACAAATTAAAATTTTCTAGGAGTCACATTAACAGGTAAAAGAAACAAAGCTCATTTTAATAATGTTTCACTGACATCAACAAACCCCAAAATAGTATCATTTCAAAATATAAAAATTATTAGACATATTTTACATTCATTCTTTTTTTTTTTCATACTAAGTCACAACAAACCTCAAAGAGTAGAAGCCACATGTCGAGTGATCAAAGACCGCATGTGTCCTAGAAGGTAAACTGTCAGTGGCTGCCATATACCTAAACGAAAGGCACCAGGGGAGAGCAGTATACATTAAGACTGGCTTCAACTGACAGAACAAAACCTGGAGGTGGGTTCGATATCACAAAAGGGAATGAAGAGTCTCTTATGAGGACAGCAAATGATTATCTGGTTTATTATTATGCACAATTATTGAGGGCCTCCACTGTTGTAGGCACTACCCAAGTTGAGTGCTCCCTCGAAACAGAACCTGATGGAAGGATTGAGTGTGAGTGATTTGGGCAAAAGGTGCGGGGATACTGGCAGGGGTATAAAAAGGTGGCATAAGGCAGGGACGGCAGCTGCTAGAGTGGATATCTGCAGATTAATCTCTGGTAGACGCTCAGGGACATAAGGTAAATAACTTGCCTCCAAATTATCCCAGGGAGCTGGGGGAGGAAGAAACTTGAGGTATTTACACTCTCAGGATCATCAGTCACTGCTTATGTCACCGGTGACGACTCTGGGGGATCATTGGTCCCCAGGGACTCTTCCAGCTGTGGGTAAGAGGGACTGAAGTCAGCTGAAGGCAACATGGTGATCTGGCCAGCGGCTTTTAGGCTAGTGGGAGCACAGACATGGTAAGGAGAATTAAAAGGATAGGAGTGGGGTACACATTATTTCTTTAATCCCCACAACATCCTCAGAGCCTATGTGTTGTCCCCTCATTTTCAAATTTTTCTTATTTTTATGTATTTTTTAAATATTTATTTGTGAGAGAGGGAAACAGAGAGCATGAGTGGGGAAGGGGCAAAGAGAGAGAGGGAGAGAGGATCCAAAGGGGGCTCTATGCTGACAGCAGACAGCCCGATGCGGGGCTTGAGCCCATGAACCGTGAGATCACGACCTGAGCCAAAGTGGGACACTTAACCAGCTGAGCCACCTAGGCACCCCCACCTCATTTTTTTTTGAAATAAGGAAACTGAGGCTCAGAGTGTGAGTGAGTTACCCAAGGTCACACAATGAGATCTCTGTAGCTCCGAAATTCAAACCAAAGTCCGTGTGATTCCAATGTGTACATGTTCTCTCCAGCGTCTAATATTAATCTGGTTTTATAAAAAATAAGTTAGAGACTCGAAAGTCTCACCAATCCTTCTAGAACCATTTACAATATGACATAAACATGAGAGGAATCTGTTTGGGCTTATAAGAGATCTACATGGGAAACTTAAGAATACTTTTCTTGGGGAAGAAAAGTCAAAAATGCATAAAATACTTCAAGGAACTCATTTTCAGGAGATGAACTGCATATCCCGGCCAAAGAATTCCTGGAAAAACATATGACCGAGCACTGTTGCAGGGAGACCCAAGGTGAAGTGAAGGAGGGAACAAGGCGGCCTCCTGCAATCCTAAAGCCTGTCCCGAATTCAAACTAAGCGCTAATTAATCAAATCACCGATGTCCTAAGACACAGTATAAAATATTAAAGGTCATTGCCTTTTAATAAATGTACTTGAGTCACAATTATCATAAAGGTCATCACACCCGCGGTTATTAGACATCTGCTTTGTGTTTGAGCCCACGTTGGGATTGGGCTGAAAGAGCTCTGTGCGTCCACGTGGGATCACAGAGGCCCAAGAATATCTGACCAACAGTGACTGGGGACTCAACCGTCACCATGTGCAAAACTAGAGGGGGAAAAAGGGATGTAACTTCTTGTGTGTCGAATTGCCAAGGGAAACAAATTTCGTCTGATCCTCTAAGACAAGGGTAGGTTCTGTCCAATCAAAGGGTGGGAGAAGTAGAGCTCCATTCAGAGAAATCCTGCACTGAGGATCCACTGACTCTTGTTCTCCAAATCCCTACTTCATAAGAAAATGCAAAACCACTCAGCCACTAGGGTTCTAGTTAGTCATAGAAGTTGGCCAAGAAAATGCCCTTGAACCTGAAAGCAGCCTCCAGGGCCAGCAGACATGTACAGCCCAGTATGCTGCCACTTAAAACAGAAAAGGTTTAGATGGGACCCACAATATACACCTAACTTTGTCATGAACATTCTTCCTTCTTTTTTTTTTTTTATTTTTTTTTAACCTTTATTTATTTTTGAGACAGAGAGAGACAGAGCATTAACGGGGGAGGGGCAGAGAGAGAGGGAGACACAGAATCGGAAACAGGCTCCAGGCTCTGAGCCATCAGCCCAGAGCCCGACGCGGGGCTCGAACTCACGGACCACGAGATCGTGACCTGAGCCGAAGTCGGACGCTTAACCAACTGAGCCACCCAGGCGCCCCGAACATTCTTCCTTCTTAATGAGGCTTACATTTGCCCCTTCATTGTAATGCTGGCGCAAAATGGGAATTTGTTCATTAGGAAGCAGCCTCCTGACACCGTTTTGGCCAACCCTCTACCTACCACAGAGGGAGAAACCTGCTACCAAAAACTTCCTGCTGGCATTTTCATAGTAGGAGGGATACTCTTTCTACATTAAAATGGGTCATATGTCTCCCGTCTTCTGGTCTCTCCTATTTTCTTCAGGTCATCAATTATAGCTTACCCCAAGATAAGTCACAGGATGCCTAATACAATGGGCCAAAACACCAGACAATCCAGTCTAAACTCGACTGTTAACCAAATTGCTCTTTTAAACTGTGGAGTACAGGCAAGACAAAGCAAGGGAGGAAGGTGAGACAGTTACATCAGGGACAGTGATTAAGTTTACCTCAAATTCACTAAGGAAGAAGCTGAGAGTGGAATAAAAATCATTTTCCAGAATTCGTCAGTGCAACCAAGTTTCACCTCAAATGTGACAAGAAGAAACTGGGGATGGGAATTTTTTCCCCCCAGAAAATACAGGGGATGGTAATAGAATCATTCTATCACAGTATGACGTTAAAAATGTGACAGTGTTTCAGCTAAAGAGAGAGAGATTTTTTTTATCCTACATTCCATAAAACTTCAGGAAAAAACAGAATCTAAATGATGATACAACATAACATATTTTAGTAATTATCTTTAGTTGAGAAAACGGGGTGAGGAAATTGCCTGAGAGTGAATATACATTCGTCTGCAAGATGCCAGCGTCAATATGGAGTCTACTCTTTTTGAACTAGTCTGATTTGCTCATTCGAAAGTGGTCCAAAAGTGGCAGTTTTACTTCCCTGGTCTTCGAGGGCCAATATCTCCCCAGTTTCACCTTGCCTCAGAGAGAAGCAGTCACGTCTCTCCTTTTAATAATCTTGAACTTATAAGTGCCAATTTTTATATGAATTTTCTCTTTGCGCGCGCGCACACACACACACACATTAAGTATTATATACTTGCCTTGGAAGACTTTTTCTATCCAACGGACTAAAAATAAACAATGTTATCATTGAGACCATAAGGTACACAATTCAGTATTTATTGAAGGAAATGGTTTTCCTTCTCAACCAATACCTTAAAATAACCTAATATGTTGCTAGGTAGTTAAAGCTGGCAGCCTTCCAATCAATGCCACACCTCTCTATACCTGTGTGTTTATAAATGGCTTTTTACAATGGGGTTTTTAAAGAGACATGCTATTACAGAGTCTAAATTCTTTTTAGATCATTATATAGAATAAGACTCCATTATACCAATACTACTTTACTCAAAACTATGCTTTTAAATAACTCATTCCCCAGCCTGCAATGCACTTTGCTAGTTTGGAGAAAAATATTAGGTGCTAATTCTGATTCCATTTAAATGCAGACCTCTATGTTTCCAAGTAATTAGAACTTCCTGAAATTACATAAAAATTAGTATCTATTTAGAATTGTTGACTTGTGAATGCATCAGGTCACTTCTCTGCCTACATGAATGAAACTAACTAGGTATCTATCCAGTTGTGTGCTAGATCCTGTGCCAACGTCTTGGAGATTCCAAGCGGAATAAGAGGAACCAAGCAATGAGAGCATTTCTAAGATACATGAAAGTAAAAACGCTCACGTAAAGTTCATGCATTGGAAGTGTTTTGTGTTGGGAGTTTTGCTCGGACCCTATGACTAGAGGTACTGCCAAGCTGGGAGCAGAGAGAACAAGCACCTGGCTTCGAGAATTACTGAATGTCACTCGTCTACATCTCCCAGACAGTACAAACGAGGTCTATATTGGCTCTGTGAATGCACCTGGCTCGCACCTGGCTCCTTAATATTTAAATGTTAAACCTGGAAGTGCTGTCTAAATCCATTCTTGAACACCGAATGGGTCAAATGTTTTCTTCCTATACTGCAAAAAGGCCCAATGAATCAGGCTGCTTTTCTGACAACATGGTAGTCAACATTTGGTGAGTCCTCTGTGACCCTTAGACCTGCCTGCCATCAAAATTCAGATCGGAGTCTGGGATATTCAAAACCTGCTTAAACATTAATGACGATACACTCCTATGCCTCCATGATTTGTTTATTTATATATCTGTTAAAATTGTGAACACACTTCTCTAAATCCTCAGTCAAAAAATCTCTCCTCGGATGGATGGATGGCTGATCATGAATAGAGAAAAAGACTACATATATTAAACTACAAAGGAGTATGCACACCAACACATAAACCACAAACTTTGAATTATATATCAACATATTAGGGTTAACTGGTCCTAGATGAATGCATGCCCTTGCATGCTGAAATGATCATTAAATGACTGTGAAAACAGGTTACATTGTACTCAAAGACTTGGCGGTATCTTTACTATGTCTTAGGGAAGAAGGCACCAAGGAGAAGAGAAATATACCATAGATTGATTGGCCATTGTGGGTTGAATTATGTCCTCTGCAGAGATATGCTAAAGCCCTAACCTCTAGAACCTATGAATACAACCTTATTTGGAAACAGGATCTTTGCAGACGTAATCAAGTTAAGATGAGGTCATAATGGATTAAGACCCTAAACCAATGACTAGTGTCCTTACGAGAAGAGCGAAATCTGGACACAGGCACAGACACTCAGGAAAAATGTCACATGGAGACCAAGACAGATTGGAATGAGAGATCGACAAGCCAAGCAGTGTCAAGCTCTCAGCCACCAGAGGCTTCCTGAATTTACAAACAGGAAAACAAGGCAAAACAAGATTCTTCCCCAGAGCTTTCAGAGAGAGCAGGGACTTGCTGATACCTTGATTTCAGGTTTCCAGCCTCCAGAACCATGAGAGAATAAATTTCTATTGTTCTGAGCCGCCCCCCACCCCCACCCCACCACCAGTTGGTGGGAATTTGTTATGGCGGCCTTAGGAGACTAATGCAGCCACCCATCAGCAACGACAGGTAATTCCACTGCCAGAAAAAAGCCACCTTACAGACAACGTAAGAGCATGCAATCCAAGGGACACGGTGGCTCATCTTACCTTCACATCTATGCTGTCATTTGGATGCAGACCTGGATTCTCCTTCTGGCCCCGTCACTTACTGGATGTGTAAACTTAGGAAAACACAGTAAATTCTCGGAGCTTTAACTTCCCGTCTGTAACACCGGGGTGCCCTAATTTACCTTACAAGATCACGAGAAAGAATCTGCATAAAGTACACAAAGCACTCTGTAGACTGCTTGGACGCAGGGTGGCTAGTAGAATTTATTAGTATTTTGGAAATAAAACTGTCCATATAAATCATAGTTGTGTTGGCGGGGGAAGGGGGAAATGAAGCCTGCAGGACTCGATCTCCCTTAGACACGTTCTTTGGAAACCGCAATTAAAATAACCAATAAGAGGGGCGCCTGGGTGGCTTGGTCAGTTGAGCACCTGACTTCAGCTCAGGTCATGATCTCGTAGTTTGTGGGTTCGAGCCCCGTGTCAGGCTCTGTGCTGACAGCTCAGAGCCTGGAGCCTGCTTCAGATTCTGTGTCTCCGTCTCTCTCTGTCCCTCCCCTGCTCATGCTCACTCGCTCTCTCTCTCTCTCTCTCAAAAATAAATAAATGTTAAAAAAATAAATTAAATAACCAATAAGAAAGATGAAAGGCTATGGAACTGAGCCAATGTCAGGTGTGGAGCAGACACAAACCTTGGCTGTGTTGATCCATCGGACTCTGGGGAGGACCCATGCCTGGGTGCGGTGGCCGCATACCGGTGCCCTTCATGGATCCACAATGGATATCTTCTACAATCCCCTTGTCGTGCATACCATCGATGGGCTGAAACATGTCAAGGACGTCAGTTAGATGTCACTTTAGCTACAAAATATGTAGTCGGACCCTGAAGATCCCTCATGTTTAAAGTCTTCAAAATTGTGGCACAATTTTCTCTGGCTCACATGACAATCATCTATTTTTATACCTAGACTATCTGTATTATTATAGGTCTTACATATATTTTATAGATGGAGACAAAAAATAAGACTATATCAACAGGGCTAACAAAACTATCTGTAAGTCAAAGTTAAGGCTGTGAACAGCTGGATTTTTTTTTTTTTTTTTGTAATGTCAAAAGCCTATAGATAAAAAGAAAGTCCTGCTCACAAGGGAGACAAATAGAAGTTATTCTTCTAAACCATTTTAAGTAAGTTTTGAAACCTGTTGTACATTGAAGTTATAGTGCAAAGTCAGAAGGGAGACTATTTGAAACATCTGTGATGGTCTATTTTTTGGTAAGTTTTTTTTTTCCCCATCAGAGAGGAAAGAAGACTATGGAAAGTTTAAAAGTCGAAATCGGAAAGTTCCATGCAGTTGCGAAAAGAGGAACAGCCGCAGTGGAGCAGACTACTTCAAGGGAAGGAAGGTCCAATGGACGAAGCTATACCCTGGAAAGAAGAGGTCCTGAAAACGTTTCAAGGCAGAGTTTGGAAAAAAGTTAAGAACGCAGGGACTGTTCACAGGACGTGAGGCCTCGTATGTAACAGGCACATGATAAAGAGCCATTGAGCTGACATTAATCCAACCCAGAATTGGGCAACGGAGCATGTGTTTGAAAAAAAGGAAAAGTCTATTCCTCCCCACACTGGAAGAGCAATTTTCAGAACAGCCTGAAAGAAAGATTTCCAGGAGTTTATAGAAACCAAATGACTTCAAGTAAGAAAGTAGGAGTGTTTGCAGTTTTACAGAAAGGAAAGTTAATTTCTGCAGAGTCAAAAGCGCGCACTTGAAAAGAGGAAAAATTTACCATAAAGAGGATGTTCAGAAGAAAAATGGGAAGAATTTGGGATAAAGAGTGTCTCTGAGTCTGTTAAATAGTAATAATAGGGAAGAAATCAAGGCAACACAAGCAGATGTATTTAGGCCACTTGTTTATTTATTTCCAGCGATGTTGAAAAGCGAAAAGCTGAATCTCAGAAGGAGAAGGAGGAGAAAGACAAGGAACAAAGCTGCCTGTAAAAGGACTCTAAAAAAGGGAAGGCATCTGGTCAGCAGGTGTGAACTCTAGGCGCTTAAACAGGTCCCCACGCAGGGCATCATCAGAGGGGCTGGGATTATGGAAAAGCAGGATGGCAAAAAAAAAAAAAAA